TTCTTGATCTGAGACAACTAGAAAAGAGTTGGACTGGTTTTGTCTAAAGAGTTGGACTGGTTTTGTCTAAGGTAGATATGTTTGGTACTTACTGGTGTTCACTTCTTGTGACACCCTGTGCTTGTTGTGGCCACTAAATTTCCTTTAGTTTTTGTTTATGTTTAAAATTCTTGAAACTGGCTGAGAAATGATGATATTAAGCAAAGAATGGAACCAGGCTTTTAAAATTGCCTAGTTAAAAGCCATTTTATGGTTAAACCCCTTATGTATACATGTGTCATTTTAAAGTGTTTCTTGTTTACTATATAGGAAAGAAAGAAAGCATGCACTCATTTAGGTTTTGGTGGGTTTTTTCCTTATTGAAACTATTGGGAGAAAAAGAAAGAATTTTCCTATTTGTGTAAAAGCTTGCACGTAAAACTGGACTTTTTGTAAAAACCATATTTCAGTTTCTTGTTGAAAAGTTGACATATTCAGGAAGAATATATTTCCTGTGCAAAATAACTTTCAACTAAAATCTAACTTCTCTTCAGAAAATTTAACATAAAAGTAGGGGCTAATCCTACTCTGTCCTTTTAATAAAAACAAAAACTGAGCTACTTACACTGTGCTAACTGCAAGCTTTTCAAATAAAAGAGCAAATACCTTAGACCTCATCATAAAATGGTACATTTAGCAACACTGAAAGAACTGAAAGAATTGTAGACCTCAGGGATTTATTTTCATTTATATTCAAACTCCTTTACGCCATTCTTGACATGTAAAAAGGAATATTTTGTGCAAATCAGAATTAGGCCACGAAGACAGGAATTTCAAAAGCTTGGATACGAGTTGAACGTGACAGGCCAGTACTGAGTTACAATGTGCTCTTAATTTACTTTCCTCTATATGCCTCACTTTCTGCACGTCACTCATTTTCGACAGCAGGCGATGACTGTTTAGCTCTTCTTTGCAGGTGTCAAGATGTTTCTGTCCGCTTTGAGCGCGGGGCAGAGCCGAGCGCTTGCTCTGGCGATGCCATGGGGGGATGTGCAAGCCACATGCAGCGCCAGGCGCTCCCTTGCACAACCCGAGCGGGGCACGGTGTTGGGGAGCCGCCGTTTTGTCTGTAGGGCTCGTTTGGAAAACTTCAGGTCCTTTTCCAGCCACTTGTACTTTCTGGTTCCTACACAGCAATAGTTTGTGTTTGGGTTTAAAAAGTTGTAGGAGGATATTTATGTTTGCAAGAGAATTCATTTTTTTAAAAAAATATTATAAATCATGTTGCATTTTGAGCTGCTATATTTACAACAATGTCTGAACTTTCACCCTAAAGTATACAAACAAGTGTCACACAGGGAAACCATTTCTCTTCCCACTTATTGCTAGAAATTTAATGCTGTTGCCTGGTCTGCACTAGAAAAAAAAAAAAGACATCACATGAACCTCCTGTTTGGCGCTTTTTAAATTTGCATGGCCTGAAATTTTTATTTTATCACACTGTTAACTCTGTTCCCTGCAGCTCTGGCAGGACTGGTGTGAGAGGTGTTCCTTGGCTCAGCAGACGTTGGTTTCTCTGGGATCCTGTGCTCCTGTGAATCTCTTATTTTCCCAGGCTGGAAGGCTGTAAATTGGGATAAAATTTCCAAAGCATTGGGTTTGTAAATGAAACCCTACCACGAGGGACACAAAAAAAAAGGTGGCCAGCTGTGTTAGAGGATTCCATAACTCATCTTACCATAAAAATGGCAAAAAAGGAACTTCTAGTTACATGAGATAGCATGGTCCCATCAGGCTCTGGTGGCTTTGATCATTCCCTTTTTTCTTCAAAAGGGGGGAACTTTGTTCACAGGAACACGCTCAATCACAGGGATGTGGATGCGTTACCAGTTGGGATCCCTAATTATTATCAATTTGCAGATTGCCTTGAATGTCTTATTAAGATTCCTGTGGAATGATTGATCATAATCAAAAAATTAATCACCAATCAGCCCTGGCAATTAACATTAGCAAGTCAATTTGCATATATCTGATAATTTATGCTACTGCTGGAAGAAGGGACTTTTGCTGAATATTATTGATTAGGGGAGTAGAGCCAGATGCTTCTATCATTGGGATATTAGGCTTTATTAGGTTAACGTGTAAGAAATTGAATAGTAACATGTAAGAAATTGAAGGGCATTCCTGCAGTCTGCTGTAACATTTGCATCTTCAAATGTCTAAAAGGAATTTCTTAAATGCATCTACTGAAATTTCTTAAATATTGAAAAGTGGGATATTTTGCTTTAAAGAAGCTTGGACTGTTGGCTTTTATTTACTGTAGATGCTTTAAATATCCATTATAAGAAAAACTCTTGAAAAATCAGCCTAGATTGTGAGATCTACATTACAAGAAGTTACTTAATAGTTATAATTATTTACTGCTATGAATAAAGAGTTTGCAGGCTTGCAATTAATTTGACTAATTGTACTATCTAAGCTATGAAGAATTGTATAACAAAGTCCAAGAAGTGGTTGACAGTACTCTACACTTTTCAGTCAGCAGATTGTTTAATGAATTTATAATATTTTTTTTCTTTTTAAACTGATGTTTTTATTAATGCATTTGTGAAGAGAGGTTTATTATCCATATCCATCAACACTGATTTTTTATTCAAATTGTCTTGAACCTGCTTATAGGATAGTGCATCTGTTTAAAATGTTATGAGTCTGGTCACATTTTCTGATATTTATAATCTTTTTTGCACCATAGCCTTTGGTTTTGCTTCAACACCCTTCAGTGTCTCTCATACCTGGTGCTGTAACTGCAGCTACGTGAAAATGCACAGTCTGCTATCATCAATTCAGATTTGGCTTTCATTTATAGCTGCTTAAAGATTAGGAACAAATTCATTTAAGCCAATACGCCAAGTGATAGCAGTTTATCCTATTTAGCCATTGTGGCCCTATAAATGATTGCAGAATTAAATCTATTTCCACCAACTAGAGATGGTCAACGTTTTAAGTGACAGAATTATATTGAAAACAAAGGCCAACAAAACCAGGATTTCTCTCTATAGCTTCTGAATTTAAAAGGTGGAAGAATTCAAAAGATGTTTTCATTTTAAAAATATACATTCTTCTGATCAATTTCAATTTACAGTTGTAGCTTTATTGCAAGCTAGAAACCTTTGTAGTTCATATAGGATTTAAAAGAACCTCTTGTATTGAATCTCTAAAACTTTGCTGATTTTAAAACTAAAAAGTGCTGTCTTTAAAATACATGAGTAAATAATGGAAAACTCTATCCTTAACATAGCTAGATTTGGTTTATTCTCTGATGTCAGCTCTGTGCTTATCTGTCTTTCTTGAACAAAGGCTTAGTTAACTGTCTGCATACACACACCAATCTGTTTTGCAAGCTTTGAATGCCTGTGTCCTTAATGTCATTAATATATTTCTCTTGGTCTTTTGACTTAGTTTTCCTCAATTAATGAATTCTGCTGTTTAATTGAAATGGGAACAGAATCAGACCCAGACCAGCTCTGATACATTAATCAGACACCAATTCCAACACAGTAATGGTATTAAAGATATCTGAAATGTTATTCCTTTTTCTTTTGGTGAGCATTAAGTGATCTGAAAAGAAGAGACTGTCATCAAACCCCAACTATATGCTATTTGAGATCTTGGATTAACCAGTTATAACACCTGGTTTTTGCTGAAGTTAGTTGGTAACCATGAGATCTTCTCACTGCAAAGTTCAGAGGTTAATTGAAATCAGAGAGGCATAACCCATTCAATTGTCCCGTTAATTATGCCCAGCTCCTGTCTCCCTCCTCCACCCTCCCATAAACATCGGCTGCTGACCACTCACTGCTGGCCGGGGGAGAAAGCTGCCGCTGGCCTCCTGTCATTCAGCTTGATGGCTGGGAGATGTTTAACGGCTGAGTCGCTGAAGCCGATAAAAAATGCCTACAACAGGGGAAAGGGGTATGTGCGTGCAAAGAGGGAGTTGGTGACATCCCCATACATCATCCCCCAGCTGTAATGTTACCAGCTTTTGCTGAAAGCTGGTAATGCTTTGAGATTTGTGGCAGGTGTGCTTTGTTGAGTGCATAGCTTTGGTAGGGAAAATTGGGGAATTGTTGATTTGGATCCTGCAAGACTGGTAGGGATTTCTGGTAGTGGTTTACAAGGATGATCTTTATGCTGTAGGAGTTTGGATTGCATTGAACAAGTAATATATTATGGTTAAAATAGATAAATTTCTATCCTTCTTTCACCGAACTGATATGAACAGTGGAATTCTGCTAGAAACTATTAATTATCACATGTTTATTGTGATGGTAGCCTTCTCCAGGGTTTCTGCAGTGAGCAGTTATGCACTGTTGACCTTACAGTAACCAGACAAACACAGCAGATTTCAGAACTGAAGGAATATTAAAATATTAAAATAAATCTGAATCATGTAAACCTGTCCTGTCCTTGGGGGAAAAAAAAAAAAAAAAAAAGAATCTCCATTGCCTTCAGTGGGAGCTGGCTTGGGTAAGAAGAAAAAGAAATCTTCCCACCTGGGGTAGTTTTGAAGTTTTGAGCTTAAGGATGGAAAATAACTTTGAGACATATTACTTAGAACTAGGTGGACTATGGGTGTCTTAAAAACTGGGATACTCAGATAATGAGCCTAAAAATCTCACCTTGCATGCTTATTCAAATTTACCTGATCTAAAACCTAATCTTAATGAATGTTAAGCATAGGCCTGTAAAATCCCTTCCTCCCTTTTCTTCTCACCCACCAGCCTTCATCTTCCAACCAAAGCCTGCCTCTCCTGTGCCTTCCAGCCACGCTGGAGAGGAGACCCTGGTCCTTGACCACTTTTTGCTGTTGTGTATCCATACAACTGTCAGTGCTGTGTCCCTTGGGAACTGCAGTCTGGAGTCAGGACCCTGCTGTCGTGTGCTGCACAAGCCTGAGACAAAAACACCCCTTGTCTTGAAGCTTTATTCCCTGATTTTACTCTCTGTTGTCATTAATCTAGGTTCAAGTGACTGCTCTCAGTACTACGTCCGCCTGTGGGTAGAAGCTGAGTGTCACAGCCTGAAATGAGGGCCTTGTTCCTATCACAAGTAAGTATATAAATAGCTCAAATAATTCTTATTAATAATTCTCCGATATCTCGTTACTCATCCCTCAGAAATAACAATAACAGTGCTAGTAGAATTTTTTTTCTGTAAACATGTTAAAATGAAAAATCTTTGTATCTTCTTTCAAAAAGGAAAAACCAAAACTCAAACCAATGAAATCTTGTTAATGAGAACTGAAAACTTTTTTGAGTTTCACAGCTCCTTCTAGCTTTCAAAAAACTAAGAAAAAACTCCTAAAAATTCACTTGTTCTCATAGCCAACAGCAGCAATTTCTGTTTGTTTCTTTGTTTAACTAACAAAATTATCAAAGTTCCTTGGTTCTACTTTATTCTAACTCAAAACTATTATTTTGAAATGTGACTTTATTTTTGTTGAGCAACTAAAAATGATCGTTTCTATTCTATATACCCTTAGAGCTGATACTTCATAAAAGCTTCTCCTCCGATGGGGTGACAGCATATATACACTGTACACAACCGTGAAAGGTGTTTTCTATGTAATTTATGTGCCTGAGCCATATACTGAGCCCATATACTACCGAGGAGACGCTAAATCAATCAAGAGTGATTTCCAGTGAACAGCCATATCACATCTACCACCCATTTGCTCTTGGCTGGCTGAGAAATGAAGCGATTTAAACCTATTGGGTCATGCTGAAATGGGGGCCAAAATCTTATCAATGGGCTGCACACAACTGAGCCTCATTTCATCTTCATTTCCAGAGGTCCACGGGCCACAGCAGTTCCCCGTAGTGCAGCGTGTGTCTGGCACTGCACACTGGCTTCCTGGCTGCTGAGCAGGTGGGGAAAACAACATTTTGGTATGAATGGGGACACTCTAGATTTGAACTTTTCTGATCTGCAGAAAAATATGGAGGAAAACACAATTAGTCTTCAGTTATAATGTGGATATCAAGATAAGCTTGAGAAATCCAAGTTTGCTGTGGTATATGAGATGGAAAAATAAATGTTTTCTGTTCACTTGCTTAATGTTTCATACAATCTTGGAAATGCTCCGCTGCCTGACCCTCATGTTTTCAGATTATTTCCACATCTGTCTCAAAGCTGTACCCTCCTCAAATGGACCAAGCAGCTCTTTTCTTAGTTAAAATAATAATAATAAAGTCTAAGAGCACCCCAAGCGTGCTGAACATCCCCACAGCTCGCTCTCAGTGCAAAAGAGAGCACCTGGAAAGGCTCAAACACCGGCCCAAGCTCACAGGCAGAAGTAACATGTGGCATGTGTTCGCCGTTGGGTTTTCCTGTTTCTTGTTGCTTCATATTAAACATGAAATTCCATATGGACCTTTTAATGGTTGCTTGGAAATTGGATGTCTGTCACCCCAGTGGGATGTATTGGCATTCTGCACCTGATTGCATTTCTCTCTCCTCCCCCCACAGGACGAGTCAAAGGTTATGGTTCAGAGGAGAAGGAGCCTGTCGACAGCAGGTTCTCCTCCAGCTGCGAGGATGCTTTTTCTCCTTAATAGCATGGGTAGGTTATGCGTGGATGTAACTAGTTTGAGTTTGCATTTGTGAATTTAGGAATGTGATCCAAAATAAACTGACATGAACAAGAAAGTTGAGACTGACCCCAAAATAAGCTATTCTCATCCTAAACATTGGCAAGAGGAGTAAAGCAAAGCAAACAGAAGTGAAGAAGCAGTTCAGAGTTAGGCACAAATTTCCATCCACATCTCTTTTGTTTTCTACACCTGCTTAAGGAAAGAAAAAAAGGTCTTTTTTTGAACTCTTAGCACTTCTGAATACTGTTTTGAAAACTTCAGAAATTGCAGTATTTTCAATGGCTCTTGCTATTTTATTCTCTCTAGCATGATGTTACCGCAGTGCTACTCCCCCACCAGACTGCAATACACAGCAGTGACTTACCCAAACGATCTGCAGTGGAGCCAGCTCATGAGTCTGAGTCCACGAAGTGCTTCTCCACCCTATTTTGGTCCAAGTTGCTGAGCTGATCTCTCTGCACCACATTTCGCTCTTCATATACGCAAGGTGTCCTAAGGTGAGTCTATACCAGCTTCCCCAATGTGGTGTCGTGATGGTCTGGACTCCGTTACTTTAATTACACGTTTGTTAGTCATTTGTGAATTAGCAATGCTACTTCCTCAATTTCACAGTTGGAGAATTCAAGCAGAAGATGTCAAGGTCCAGATCCCCAGCATGCAAATCTCCTAAGGGTCATGGGCTTATCTGTGTCAGCCAGGGTCACACAGGATGGTTCACAGCCAAGTTTCATATCCGAATCTCCCAAAATACACCCCAGTGCCCTGGGATGCTTGGCCTTTCAATGCCTGCAGTGGTAGTTACACAGAAGGAGTGGATAGGAGTCCCAGTGCCAACATTTACTATCGAGTCTAAGTTACTAAAGTATGACTCTGCAAGTTATTTCAATAAATCTACTCTCTTAAATTTAGTTAGGGAGACAGAAATCTGTCCTTGGATTGGTTTGATGCTGTGTGAAACCATGAGCAGTTAGCTGCAGTATTTCCTGTTCCAAGTATTTAGAAATCATGAGTCAGGTTTTCCAAATCTTAGAAATAATGAAATAGGTTTTTAAAAAGAATATTTCAGGATATGTCTTGGTTCTGCTTCCTCAACTGTCTGGGTGCACTTGGTTTACTTGTGAAGTATTTCAACAGAAATACATGGTTTCTAAGCTTGCTTTTAAAAATGACACTCAACTTCTGACATATTTCTGTGTTCTAGATCTGGGCTTTAACAGCAAGACCAAACATTCCTAGTAATTTTATATGTGCTAATAAATGCCAACTCCTTGCCAAATTCACGTCCCCCCACAATATGCGAGGAGAATCAGAAGTGAAAAGTAAATTAAACTTGTGACTGTTTCCTAGTTCTGAACTAGAAGTTGCACAAATTTAAAGCAAATGTAGATTATAGCCAAATTCTGTTACACGGATTTCATTCGAGGTAACTTTTCTGCTGTCAGCTAGCCAGTAATGTCTGCTCTAGCCATTAAATATGATCACTAAAAATTCAAGATAGGTAAGAAATAATTACTATAATAAGCATTTTTTACTTGTCTTCTGCATTTGTATAGGGTTTATCTCACTTTTTTTCCTCTTTCTTACTTCTGAGTTTTCATAGTTTATTTTTAATACCTTTTCTTTGATATCTAAAACTACAAAACAAAAGTTAAGATTCATAACAGTCACCTAATAGCTAGAGGCCAGGGCTGTAATGAAAACATCAGTCATCTTGAGACGTGTGATGTATTCACTGGAATTAATAAAATTGCTAGAATTGGCAACAAAGGAGAGATTGCTTTGTAATCAAGTCACTCTGGCTGTATGGGATTTTATTGTAAGACTACTGCTGGGTTCCCAAGGTCTTTAAGGACTGGTACCCAATTCTGATGGACTTTATATAATTTTCCTTTTAAATTGCACTTTTTATAATATATTTGCATGGTTGTTTGCACACTGACAGGCCCAATCCAACTCAAGCCTGGTATTATTAATACATGGACTCAGTCTTCATCTTGGCACTGGTTCTCAGTTGCCCAGAGGATTCCTCCATCGTTGCACTGTCCTCTACCCTGTGACACTCGTGTCCTACTCTCCATCAGGTATGTGCAGACAGGGTTCACTCCTCAGTGCGGGCAGATTGCTCTAGCTCTGCTGATGGCAAAAAGAAGCTTCACTTGACAGCTGTAGTTATAAAACTTTTCACATACTGAAGATTTTGCTTCTTTTGGGGTATATGAGCTTCACAGAGTTTGATGGAGTTTGCAGGAGTTTGCCTGCTCCAAGGATCTATGCCAGTGTTTTTAGGAAGTTTTTTAAAAAAATGTGTATTCCAATTGTTACCCATAATTGAGATAATATTGCAACAATCTGTGTAGCTTATTGACCTGACAGAGTGCAAACAGCTTTCTGGAAGCCTCCTGATATGAAATATTCCAGCCCTTGTATTGTTCTTGTACACAAAGTGCATGGAGGGAATAAGCAATAAAATACCAGATGGATTTCCTTTGAAACATAATTACTATCCAGGTGCAGACCCCACTTTTCATAGTCAAAGATTTCCATCATTTTAATAGGATTCTTTTAAGTTATAGTATCAGCATCTCCTGACCTGAACTGTGGTCAATGCACTGCACATATGATACTGGTGAAAAAAGAGAGGAGTTCACCTCTCTGTCCTGTTTGGCCACTGACTTTTTTTTTTCTGAGAATGGTGATTGAGATGCCAACTAGTGCCCACTCTCGCAGGGACTTTCTGTGGGGAGGACACCTGGCCTGAGGGAGCTGTACTGAAACTCATTCGGTCTTTGCAGAGAGTCAAACAAGAATATTTATTTTTTTCATCTTCTTTACCTTGCAAGGGAGCAGAGCAATAAAATAATAATAGTAAGAAGAATAAAAAGGCATAACCAGTCTCCCCTCCCATTCTGACATGTTGAGTGCCAAAACTCAGATCAAGTCTTTAAGGTGAAGTGAGAACGCAGTGAAAACAGGGGCTTTATTATAAAGGCAGGGCTGTGAACTTTGTAACTCTCGCTGTACTCCCGGATGTGCCTCTTCACACTGTACACAGCTGCTGAAGGCTTCCAGGGACTGTGGGTGGTGGGTGAGGAAAGGGGAAGAGGTGGTTTAGCTATGCACAATATTTCCCATAAGAAATAAAGCAATAGAGTCTCACCTCACTGCCTGTTTTTCCACATATATTGAGACGGGAATGTATTTATATAACCCTATTAAAAGGGAACACTCAGTAGCAAACTGAGTCTTTAAATAGCTACTGTTCTGCATACTCCAGTCTCCAAACTCCTCAATTTCAACTCACACCCACTTACATTCTTTTGACATATTCCCCATGTTTTTTTGTGACTTTGGGGTCAAATCCAAAACTTATTGAAAGCAGTGGAAAGACACTCAGTGAATTCAGTGGAATTTGGATAATACTCTTAGAGCTCAGATACCATGGTGATAAATGCAATAAATTATATAGACAAAAGTTGCCCATTTTGGGCTAGCTCCACTTCTACAGAAACAAATTAAACTGTTGCTATTGACTGCCACAAGAATCAGTTCTGCCCCTTCCCTGGTGGCATTTAAGTAGCTCTGAAAACATTTTATGAATAAGGAGAATATCTCCCACTTACAGATGTATAAACTGAGGCACAGAGCCATGATTAAACCTGTGAGTCAGGCAGTGCAGAAGAGTTAGAATTAGACCCAGATATGGGTCCCTGGACCACCCAGTGGAAAAAGAGAGTCTATTAGCTGCTAGCAGTCTCGTAGTCCCTCCCAGTGCTACCAGGTCCTGCCGATGCCAACAGGAGTGGAGGGCAACCAACATCCTCCCGTAAATTGTTGAGCATTAATAAACTGAGTGGCTCTAAAGAAGCAGTTTGTTTTTACCACCAAGATGCATTATTTCATCCTTTCCCCGCCCCCCAGCATTCATATTTTCCCTTTGACTCCTGTTATTTTGGTTCCATTTAGCAAATACATTCTTAGTTTTTTTCCCCCTGTGTCCCTCCAGCCACCTTAGTTTGCCTTTTTTTTCTTTCTTTCCCTTAAAAACTTTTTTCCTCATTCAGTGCACTAAGTGGATTTACGACCCATTTAGGGAGCTTACAGTGGCATTGCTTTTGCAGTTCAGAGGCAGAAGGGCCATAAAAAGATTTACAGTTACAGCAAGAGTCGGCTGCATGGAAGTTTGAGATCCAAATTAGACAAAGGGAGCAGAGCGGTGTGAGTGGCCAGTAAAAGAAGCTTGGAAACAAAAACAAATGAAACTGCTGTTAGAGGAGAAGGTTGGGGTGGGGGCAGAGAAGGAGGAGGAAAAGTTGCCTGTTAACTTCACGTTACTATTGCAACAGCTCTGTTAATTCTGTTATATAAAGCCCTTTTTCCTCCTTTTTTTCCTCTCTCGATGTTTTTGTTGGCCAGATTTCCTTTGCAAACACAAATCTCAAACTGGAGAGCAGCAACTTCACACAGTAGTTGAGATTCCAAGGCAGATATTCCCAGGATGTTGGCAGCTGGTTTTGCTGCTGCTGCTGGGACTCCAGGATACAAACTCCAGAGAATAAAACCAAGTGGCTGAAGGAATGGGACTGGTCAGATTGGAGGACTTCAGGTTGCATTACATGAGGATAATCTGACATTTAAAAGAAGCAAGAGGCTGGGAAATAGATTTTATTCTCTCCCCCACTAGTTTTTTCTTTCTGACTTCAAAAACAACAAGACCAGGATTGACCAAATCCATAACAAGCTGAGGCAAATGGGAGATTTGCCGCTGACATTGAAGGAATGTGCCTGGACACATAGAGAGAGGCTATAGAGAGAGCCTGGAGAAGGCTGGGGGCTGCGCTGTGGTGAGACTCAGCCCATTCTGTCAGCACTGTGGGCAGAAACCACACTGGGAAGCAGTGTGTCCCTTCTGGGCAGCCTCCAAAGATGCCACCTTTGTTGGAATCTTCAGGTGTGTCCGGCTGGCTGGTAGTGGGTGCAGCCACGTCTGCGCTGCTGGGGGTCCACTGGTGTTCATGCAGGCCAGCTACAGCCTAGGCGCCGTGTGTTCTGTGCTGTGCCTGTGCTAAGAGGCCTTTTGGGGGAGTCTGAGCTTCACAGAGCTCAGGGAAGATGCCATGCTAATAGAGCAACAGGGCTTGAAACCAGTTGGAGTGCAGGTGGAACAAGCACAGACGGTCTGTACTTACCCCCAGAGATATGCTCTGTGTGCGTGCAGTGGGAGAATGGATCCAATGAGCCTGTGCTTGACTCTTCACTCCACTTTGTCAGGCTTTTTTTCTGCCTATGCAAGTACATAGTGTGGAAGCAGTCATAAATAAACTGTACACATAGAGTCAATAGTTCTCAGTTTTGCTCTAAATGCGATTTTTTTTTTTTTTAAGACAGTTGAAAAGCACACTATAGTTTCCCTTCTCATTGCCTTTGCGTTTATTCTGCTGCTTCCATTTCTAACCAACTTCAAGTTCAATATACCGCCTTTAGTTTCACATAGAGCACTTCATTTCCTGAAGTCTGTCACACAGTGATGCGATCCAACTGCCTTCTGGGCATCACTGAATCGATGCCTGCATTTCAGAAGTGGGTGATGTGTCTATTAATTGCCTTATTCTTATTTTCTGTTGGCTATCATTACATTGTTCAGGGTAGTAGCAGCACAGGAGTTTTTGTTTCCTCATATCTTGTGTATTTTTTTGTGAGCTTCACTGGTGAAGTTGGTGAAGTTATTTACATTACTGGTTTCCTTGAACCTTGTTTTCTTGGATATCCTTTACTCACTGTGTGCTCATAGCTATCCAGTGAAACTAGTGTTACTGGTGGTGTAGAGGACACTGTGGTCCTCTGGATGAAAAAGCACCTTGTAAAGATAGACTTTGAATCCTTGTTCTTTGCTCCCACATGTTCTCAAATGGATGTTAACACTCAGGTTTCACATTATCTATAAGAGGAAAAACACAATCACAGTGCTTTCCCTACATCCCTTTTAGATCTGGTTCTTTCTCCTTCAGAAGAAAAATCTCCTAATAAAAAGAGTGGTAATATTTAACAGCCAGCTTCAGAGAGAAGCTCCAGTCTAAACCAGAAACAAATTATCACGCAGGCCCCCGTTAAAATTTAAACACTAATTGACAATAACCAGACAGGCATCTCTTGCCCCTTTCCACCCCGCCTCCATGGCAATCCACGGCTGCAGCCGTCCCCTTGCAAGCCTTGGGCACGCTCAGCGCGCGGTGCTGTGCTGCCTTCGTGCAGGCTGGTGGTGCTGAGCTCTGCAGCCCCGGCTGGCCTGGCTCCCTGTCCAGGTGCTGCTTGTGTGGTGCCCTGTAAACCTCGAGGGACCGGTCATTTGGGACACTGATGGATTTCTGTGGCTCCCACTGGAGATTTTCAGCAGGACACTGAACTGTTACCAATTCTGCTGTGTCAGGGCCGTTCCTGTCTCCTCCTTTTTGCATTCACCCTCCCTGGCGCTCACTCTCGCTTCTGCCTCTTTCCCCTCTTTCTTTTTCAGTGAGAAGGGCCTTGAACTTCTGGTGGAGACTTGACATATGAGAGGAAGCATTGAAAAGCAGAAAAGACAATTTTATGAGTGATGGCTAAAATGTATTCTTGAAGTACTGTTTTTTCTTAAGTTGAATATAGTCGTGTGAACAATGCAGCAATTTCCATGAAAAATTCTTAGAGTGATAAAAGGCTTCACTTTTTTGGAGGAAAAAAAAGATTGCAAATGAATACAGTCTTTTTACAGACTTAACAGCTCTGTATCTCTGTTCATTTTTTTCCTCTTATTCCCTCCTTTTGTTCTTCTATATTTATATAATAAATAAATAAATAAATAAATAAACCCCAATAAACCATTAGCTTTTAGACTTTATTATGATTCTATTAATTTTAAAACCAAATCAGTGTTTTCAACAAGTCAGCAAAGTGAATCAAGTTGGCAAAAACATGAAAAACATTTTGGAAATATTTTGACAAATTGTCTACTATTCTTTATAGAAACAAGTATGCATTTCCCAGGGAGGGGGGGTAGAGCAACCTTCTTTCTCAATGAAGAAAATAGGATTTTGAAACCTAAATTTTAATAGCCATCCATGTCACAGGTCAATACGGCCAGGATCCAATGCCAGGACTGGGATGATCAGAAAAGGTAAGATAATTTTTCCATTGTTGGAATTGAAAAGGACACGGTCGCCCTCCCCATGCCCCTCCTTCATCCCCGGTGTTTCCCCCTGTGCCGAGACGCAGTTGGGGCACGGGAGGTGCTGCCGTTCCCTCCAGGCCCGTGCTCACACTTGCACAGGGCAAATCCCACGTCCGCAGCAAAGCTCAGGCTGTCCAAGCGAGCTGCGTATCAGAAATGACTTTTACTTAACCTAGGAGGCCCCCACATCCCCTTTAAGCTGTTTTTGACTGTGTCTTCGAGTCTGTAATGTGCTCCGTAAACAAATAACCTGTGTTTTTTTAACTGGGTCATTATGAGTTGAGTTGTACTTCAAGCACGGGACGTGGGGAGGAAGTGGTGGGACCAGGAGCAGAAGGGGAGACAGCGGCAGCCTCAGACCCAGAGGACTGCAAGGAAGGAAAATATGGATGGCTGCCAGAACAAATGCAGAGCCTTTTGGGAAACCGTTTTGAGGCCTCATGAAAAAGTCAGAGAACAAAGAGGTTAAGGAAGGCACAAATAATGTCAGACCTCCAGGAGAGCCGTTTGCCCTGGGCAGGTAGCTCAGACGGGCGTTTGCCCATGCTTCCAGATGGCACATGGTCGTCTTTCTCTGTTACCACACCTGTGATGAGGTTGTCTGTGCACGCTGGGGCCAGAGCCTCTGCACTTCTGCAGTCCAGAAGCATGAAACAGTACCAAAATGAGTGAAAAAAAAAGGGATAAAAATACCTTGAAAATAGCAGCAACTTTGTAAATCTTCATATGTGGTCTACCTTTTGGGGCTGGAATAAGGATCCTCAAAGGCATTTATGTGACTAGAAGTCTGTGTGGCCTCATCAAAACACAGTGTTGTGTTAGGGAGTGCAACATCTGGGAAAATTCCTGTACATGTTTCCTCCCAGGTTAATCTGCAGGAGTTTATGGCCCTCTGGCTTATTTATTAAATTTCACTTTTTTGATTGAAATCATCACGAAAACTCATTGTGAGAAAAAAACACCCATCTCTGCTTTTGTTTGCTCAAAACTGGATCAGAAATGCTCGTATTTTCACTTCTTTATTTCTCTAGGAATTTTAGTGTAGTAAGTCCCTTTTTTATTCCACAAATCACTATGTTCAATGTTGTTTTAGAATAGCTTTTAGTAAACTGCAGTTTCAAAACCTGCAGGCGGCACCCAAGAGCACTGAATATGACTTCTCCAAGCTTTCTATTTTTATTGGCCGGATTCTGATCTCAGTCACATTACAAAACTTTGCTGGCTGATGGAGATGAGGATCTGATCCCTTGTTTTAGTAAAATGAGGCTTCCCTGATTTACAGCTGAAAAAAAAAAAAAGAATAATCTGTCACAGCTTCTTTCTCCCTAGAGTTGATGACTTCATTTTGCTGTTCAGTGGTCCATGGAAGGTTTTTTGGGTGTTGGCTTTAGAAGCAGGTTGGTAACAGAGGCCGCTCGTAATGAGCAGGGGAACTGCAGAGCCTCACCCTCACTGACAGGAGCAAGAGAAATGGTTCACAAACATACCAAAGTGAAATGTGCAGTTACAGGGATAAAACAGTGATACAGTAGATAGGATATCTTGCCAAAACGCTGTCTAAGTACCCATTAATGGACATCTGAGTTTTGTTAAATAATTAATGTGTCTGTTGTATTTTTTTCTTATAGATCTTTCAAGGAATTTAGTTTCGGTTCCTTTGCATTTAGTTTCTGTTCCTTGAAATGCTGCTTTTGAGCCTGTCTTCTCAAGCGTTTATAGACATTGTCTGTAAAGCAGTTTTCTAATAGTAGCTCCTATCTGTTATGGCCAAAAAGCATTTATCCCAGAGTGTGTAACAAGATGGATACCTCTCTTTGTTCCCATGGTATGGTTTGGAAACTGAGGCGTAGCCCACTGAAGTGGACTTGCCAAAGGTCCATATAATAGCCAAGAACAAGTCTTGTCCTTTGACCAACACAAAGAAGAAAATTTTATTAGAGCTTTAAAAACTAAGTGAACTGTGTGAATCCTAGAACTCGGGGAGTTCTAAATAATACTCTTTTGTCCATCTCCACCCATGAAAAATGGCTATTCTGTTGTGGTCTGTACTGAAAATATCAGCATGTCGCCCTGGCTTTGCAATCTCACTTTGCAAACTCATGCAACACAGAAATCTCATGTAAACGATGGGGTGTGGAATTGTTGGTAAGAACAAGACCCCCAGAACACAGCCGGTCCTTTTCCAATTTTTCCTTGCTGTCTCTGTGTCTGGGCTGGCTGCCCCAGATGACTGGAGAAAGTTCTGGTTCTTGTTTCTTGCAACACCTGAGTACCTGGGTTTTTCCACCTTCATCCAAATCCCTGGCTATCCGTGTGAGGAGGATGTCAGCTGCAATACAGCAATTCATATTCTTGTCTTCTTATCACCAGTTATTCTCCCGGAGTGCCAGTTGACCACTTTGGCTTCAGCTTGCAGTTCTCAAAGGGAAAGAAACCAACATAATCATAGTATTAGTGGCTAGATCAAACATAGCGCAATGACCAGGGGAGTAAGCAGGGCTGAGTTTTTGGTTTGGCCTTTGCTGAAGATGGGAGATGTCCACTAACTTTGGTTGCAAAAATGGGTGTGGATCCGGGCAGAGAAGGCTGCACGTGCAGGGATTTTGGGGGCAAATGGTGGGTATGGGCTGCTCCAGCCCTCGCAGAGGGGATAGGGCACCAAGTGCTCTGCTCTGCTCTTAGAAATAGCAGGTTGGTCACAAACTAAAGTGTGAGCTTAGCTCCAAATGATGGTCAGTTCTCTGTAGCCAACCCAAACCTTTCAGCATATCCGCTTAGGACAAGGTGTTCTTCCTCTTCTGAAGCACAAAGGAAGGAAATGCATCTTCAGGAAATGTTTATTTTACCCGTGGATTGTCTGAAGCAAGTTTTGACAATACCCGGAAAAAAAAAAATCACCCCAAAATTAATATTAAAATAGGAGTGTTTATTGATAAAATGCATGATTTTTATGGGCTAGAGAAAAGAAAATGTGCTGTAATGCTTTACACCAGTGGCTGGGAGTGCAGCAGGGCAGCCGAGGTGGGACCCCTGGACGCTGCTGCCTGTGGGCAGGGTGAGTTGGGCGGCAGCTCCCTGGCCCCATCCCCTCAGCTCTTTGCACATCTTAAAACAGCCATTAGAAAACAGAACAAGTAAGATATTTAGCAATATAAAAGTTTACATGTTGGAAGGAGAGATGCTACTTAACACCGAACCTGGAGGGGTAATTTAAACCCCCCAACCTGCAGGAAGCCTTCTTCTTTCTTTAGACCCTGAGAGATGTGTTAGACACATTTCTGCTGAATACTGTGGCTCAGCTCCCCCTCCTTTTTTTCCACCCTTATTTTTTCTAGCCTTGGAGAGCTATAGAGGAAATCTTGAAGGCAGCTGGTCTCTGGAAATGAAACCTTGAGATTTAATGCCTTAACTAAGAATGAAGGAGTTAAAAAGGAAATAAAAGAAATATTTAATTTATTTCTCTTGAACATAGCTCTGCCCAGTCCCTTCCTCCCATGTACGCACTATCGACACCCCACCACAGAAAACAAACCCCTCGGTCGTTGCATAAGCCCAACCAGCGTGTCCCTGCAGTCTGCCGCAGACCTATAACCTCCTACTCCTCCAGGCTGGCTCCGGCAAGCTGCACTGTGAGTCTGGGTGGACTGAAATAAGCATGGTGAGAGGCTTCCACAGAAACCTCTAAATGGGTTTTAATGTCTCCCCACCGTAGAATTCCCGGAATTAATTTGTGTCTGGCTTTTGAAATCAGGGACACTGTTAAAGAAGATGGATGCCCCTAAGAAGTATTGAAAAGAATGAAGGGATGACAGTGGTGGTTTATGTAGCAAGCCTGGCCATGGATGAAGAGTAGTAAATGTGGTTGGTTGATTGAGATCAGATTTTTTATTTTTTCCAGTGGCAACGCCCATGTAGTTTATTTATCTATTTTCCCCTTTCACTTCAAGGCACCTAACAACAACACTGTATTTTATAAATCCCTGTGATTATGAATCTAGAAGGATGGCATTCTTGGTTTCCTCAGAGGCCAGGAGTCTATACCCACAGGAGACGGATGGGAGAAGTAGCCAGCAAGCTTTCTATATTATTGCACAGAATTGCAGGAACTGGTTTTGGTTTACACCGCATGGGGGAATGCAAAGTCTGCACAGAGCATCTCCATTTACTGCTTCCTCTGCGTGCAGCCAAGGCAGGATTGCTTACGTTCCCTCTGCACAGTTACTGGGGAGGGAATAATGTCGTGCCTACCCTGCAAAAGCAGTGCCTTTGCATCAACTGTTTCTGTTATCCTGCAGGTAGGATACAACCCCAAAAGATTAGAAGTGCTTCATGTAACTGTGCAAAGCTGGTGTAAAAGTCCAGACCGGTCCAGCCCCTTTCTCCACTTCCACATCTGTGCCTTGTCCCAGCAGAATGGCTCCCATATCTGCACGAAAAAAGTGTCCCCTTACTTTCTCTTGCCCGGCAGCAGTGTCTGATGAGACTGTGAGACCCCCAGGTTATGGACAGCAAATAGAGATCGTTGCTGCAGGATCAGTCAGGTTGTGCTGCAAAGTTAGGAAGTGTTTTCCCATAGTTTAGAAGATAATTTTTAAAAGTAAGGGATTTAGTTTACATTTTTTCACGGGCCCCAAGGTCAGCTATGGAGTAAGAGCTGGATTTAGATTTAGAGTCATCTCTCAGCTCTGAGGAAAAAGAAGAAAAAGCAAAACCAAAACAGGCATGTTTGATTTTGGTTCTTTGCTTCATCTTCTTGCTGCCTTGGTAATAGGGTTGCTTGTGGTGGTGTGGGGGCAGCCCCACAAGATCTCTGATCTTTCCCTCCTCTTCCTATCATTCACCTCCTCCCCAGCCCTACCAGAGTCAAATATAAACTTTCTTAAAATGAACACAAGATTCATTCCACTTGACCAAGCCTGACTTCCCAGAAAATAAACAGCAAGAACAGAGCCAGCCAGCCCCTTCTCCCAGAGCTGCCAGCCTCCAGAGAGGCGAGGGATGGACCCAGAGCAATTCTGAGCCTTTTGCAATGAGAATGGGGTGCCAAGGAGAGGGGTCCCACCTAAGGGATTTCCCGGGGTCCACTGTAAAATAGCAATATCACTAAGTGCCTTAATTTTCACAGTTCTGGTTTCTTTTTTTAATCTCAGTTGGATCCTGAATAACTGAACGCAACTGTTTCCCTGCCTTGATAACAGATCAAAAGGAACCAGGTCAGTAGCACATATTAGTGCTATTGATAGAACAGGGATTTTCAGAGCTCAACACTCAAACTAATCTGAATAGGGCAATAGTCGATTCCCTTTTATGAGCATATTTACTTTTGCACTTTGTTTTCTTTCTATTAAATGAAAAAAAAAAAAAAAGAGGAAAGAAAAAACAACTCACTAATAGCAAAAATGGTGTATATTCATTAGAAGAATGACTAAAAATCGGGAATAAAATATGCTGAACAGTTTTCCAACCCAATCTTGCCTTCAGAGTGGATTAAATTAATTTCTGCTATGCAGAAGTCACCTTGTACTGCACTGACTGGGATGTGCTAGGACCGCACCAGCTGGCCACGAAGGTGAGAGAGGGTGAGGGGACACTGGAAAGGCTTCAGTTCCCGCTCTCCAGGGCAGCTCTCCCAGACACTGGACATCCCCCGGACGCTGTGCCGAGTCTCATCTGCTGGGCCGCTTTGCCCTTGGGTGTCTGGTAGCATGCTCGAGGCAGTGAAGCTCTGTGGTGCAGCTGTCCTAAAACCACAGGACCAGCTGTGACCTTTTGGACTTGAAGTCCATGCTTTTTTCTTAGGCTCCCAACCCCATGGGCATTTCCCGTGCAATTCCCTGGGAGCAGCTGTGTGCAGGTGTTGCCTACGGCACTAAAATGATCCTCTCTGAAATAGCATGGGAAAGAAACAAGTGAAGACAAAATAGTAAATACACCTGTATAGGAATCCTTTTCCTTACCAGGCAGTAGATGTTTTGGGACCTAGGTCAGAGTTATCTGATATGTCCTGGATCCCCTCTTCCTGCACTCGTCACCTTCTCTAACTCATGATGTTTATCTGCCTTTCCTTTCCCAGGACAGGTATCTTTGATCTCGGCTGGCCTCACTGTTAAACAGTCTCTCTTGCAATGAAAGCATGAGCTTCTGATCCTCGCTAATTCTCTAATCCCAAAACATCCTGTATGATTGTGTGAGTCTCTCAGCTTTCTTCATCCTACCAGCAATACTTGGCTTGTTATTTAAAAAAAAAAAAAAAAAAAAAAAAAAAAAAAAAAAAAAAAAAAAAAAAAAAAAGAGAGCCTGCCTTTTCACTGCACCAAACCTGTTTTTATGGAAAAAAACCTTAAACTAAGACAGCTGAAATGTTCCCTCCTGATGGCTAACTGCAGTAAGCAGCAGTAGTCACAGAGTGCTGAACTCAAACACCTTCCTCTGTGGGTAGTTTTGCTTTGCCTATGCTGATACTCACAGGCAGCCTTAACGAGGACAAATGTAGTTAATGAATGTTGGCCACCACTTCTGCAAATTACATATGTGCTGCTAAGGATAACATTAAAAGTTTAAAAAATTAAAAAAAAAAAAAAAAAAAAAAGAAAAAGGAAAAGATTTATTTTTGTGTTCGGTTTCAATTTGCTGCTATTTTTTCTTTACTATCTGTTTTCCACTATAAGCATTATCTGTTCAAGCCAGAACAGAGTAAAGCTAATTGTTAGGCCCCTCTGTTTTTCCTTCTTACTGTTTTATCTCCTAAGCAACTTTATTTGGTACAAGACAAATAATCTGAATTCCTGAAGTCAGAAACAAGGAGTGGGAGTCCGGGAAACTAGCTGCTGATCTAATGCAGTTTTTGCAAGTGTGGTTATGGTTAGAAACTCTAAATATGGCACCGTGTTACTGTACACACGGTAACTGCACCCTGTGTGTCAGTGTCTGAGTCACAGTTGTGTAGTTTACTGACAAAAATATGTTTTACTACTCGGCTGCAAGGAGTCGATAGAGCTGGGGTGAATGAGCCGAGCTCGCTGCATCGCGTGTTGCCAACCGACTGAGCGGGCTCGGTGCGCACCCGGGGCTTGCTGTTGCAGCACAAGGGGCATGGTTTGGCAAGCAGATTTTGGGCCAAGTGTCGTTTAAGTGAAAGGAAAAGGGGTGTCTTCTGCCTGCCCTCCCCCCTCCCCCGCCCCAAGTTGGAGGCTGCCCGGGGAGGGGTGTGCGGTCAGGAGAGCTGTGTGATGCCCCTGGGAATGAACAGATTCCACTTCTGTGAGAGTATTTGAAAAGTTTTGTTTCCAGCACCGTGCAGAACAGAAGCATCTTTCCAAGCCTTGATGCTGTGAAATGGAATTGTCACCCTGTGGCTCCCTTTTCCCCCGTCACAGGGCAGCCTCCTTCTGCCAGCAAATGAACTGGCAAAAAATTTAATTTTTTTGACTTTTGAACTGAACTGACTTGATCTGAATGTTACTGGCAGAAACTAAATTAATACAATCTTTTTCTTTTAAGAGAACCCCCTTTATTTTAATATTTTCAATAATAAGTATCCACCATGGAGACCAGCTGGCATTCCCATACTGTACACGTTCATCCTAACCTTTACTATTGACTGACTCATACAGCATGCATCTGCAAGAGTTATTAATGGAAAGTATTAAATAAATTTGGTTTAATATTTGGTAAATAGGAGGTGTCTTTTCTTTGTGCTTGAATTTGTGTTTCAAATGTCTATGTTTGTGTTATTTATATTAATATATTTCATGGGCTCCTTAATAATAGTAGCAATTAAGATAATAACAATAAATACTAATAATACTGAGCTCTTCTGTTTTTCATCAAAGGAGGTCAAGACTCAAGGGTATACTTCTGGGTCTGGTATAATGTAGATCTGATCTTCTTACGGTATTTCTTTTTGTGGAAAGGTAGGAGTATCATGCAAAGATCAGATCGCTTGTATTTTGGCCTCTGGAATGTCTCTTAGGCATCATAAACACCAGTTAGAAACATAAAATTGGAAAGAAAACAAACACTAGGACATTGAAAAATATAACCACAAATACTGACCTATTTGTGTTTTTTTTTTTTTTTTTTTTTTTTCTGATTTAGCAGAATGCTATTAATATTATAATTAAAGCTATTTTGTAGCCTGGGGGCTTGAACACCTGGCTCTTATTAGAGCTAGATCTATAATGTATGGTGAAAAAAAAAAGGGGACAGGAGAGGAGATGGCCCAAAGGAGAACACAAGAGGGCACAGTGGCACCTGTGGTGCACTTTTGTTTGCTGGTTTTTTGAAATGTTGAGGGTAAGGTGAATTTAAGCCTATGTTTGCATGACATAAATAATTACGGTAACATGGTTGATTAGTTGGAACAGTAAAAATGTAGTTTGTCAAGTTGGATTGTTTACTAGCATTATTTTTTGGTTAGTTATGAGGGTCAAAGGTAAGATGTGATGACTGTATCATATAAGGTTAATACGGCAATAAGCCCTACTATAAGTTTGGCAGAATTAACCCGGGCAGTCAGTAGGGAAGTTACCTATTGTACTAAATAAGGTACAAAACATGTGTTCCTGGCAGGTGTTTTCTGCAGCTTTCCTCATCTGTTCCACTATTCTTCCACTGTATTGTGCTAAAGGAAACTAGCTCTGTGATTTTAGAAGCAAAGGATACTAATGCTGCTTTTCATTTTCTGTTCAAGGAGGATGGATGTTTCTGCAAAGCCTTTTGCATGTGACTGATCAGAAATGACCCAAGCAAAACCAAGAAGCGTTAGCTGAACCTTCAGCAACCTCACCATCGTGGACGCTGCTGAATTGAGAGGTCAGTGGTGAAAATTTTCTTCTGAAAGAGTTAGTGCTGTAAATAGATATTTGGAACGAAGTGACACAGAAATAAGCAGAATTCTATCACAGATATTAATTTGGAGTTCAGAGATCACAGTTTTCCTTAGATGTCTCCTGCAGGGTGCTTGCTAGGGGAGCAAACAGCCTCCCTGTACCATGGTCACTTTCATGTGTTGGCTTTTGTGGAGGGAGAACTCGAGTCAGAACCATTCCACCAGAGCAAGTCCAGCAAAGGGTTGCAGAGTCTGATTTGGATTTGTTCTGTCACTGTTTCTGAATTTCACAGGAGGTTACAGGCTGGGCCTTTACTATGGGAATTGTGGTTGAAACCTCTGAATGCTGTAATCCATGACATGACATTAGTTCACAATTAAAAATGAACAACCACCTTCTTTTTTTTTGTAAAGAAGTCCTCATCCTCCCTCAGGTCTCCTATACATTTATTTGCAAGACACAACTTCTCCTCCCACCCACACCAGCCTCCAGTGGTTTCTTACCCTCCCAGGAGTCACTCAATCCGTTACTGTGCATGGAGCTGCAAAAAGAAGATGTGATACTATGCTGCATGCAAAAAAGTAAAGAAACAAGATCATTAACATCTTAATATCCTGTCCTGACATCTCACAAATTATTTTAGACTTCATAGCCAATGTAAACAGGTTTGTTTTCAACTCCCCTAATTGCCTGCTAATTGAGAGCAGATGCAGGCCTTAACTTTCGGCAGATAAAGAACAGCCTCTTCTCTAGGGTTTCGCATCTATCATGAGGTCTCTGATGTATGCCTGCGAGCTTCCCTGGTTAGTGATGCCGAGGCAGAGAGGGATTGGAGCTGCTCCTCCTGAATCGTGCCTGAAACCTCACTGAGACAGAAGGGAAGACAGAGCTATGGGACTCATCAGTAACATCATCATCATTATTGTTTCATTTCGTACTTCAGTGCACTTTCTGCAACAGCATAGGTTTCCTTCTGGGGGGGAGTTCTCCGAATTATAGATGGGTTTCTCGTTATGATAGAAATCACTGGGTTTATGAAAAATGCATTGCTGTCATATTCCATTATCTACTTCCTCCCATGCTGCAATCCAGTAGCTTGCAAGTCATTAGATTCTTTTTCAGAGTTCCTTTGAAATAATCCTTTCAAAAAAACACTATTCATTGGGTATGACCCCGGAGAGATACTGTCTGGTACTAAAGCTCTCTTTTAGTTCTGCAAGGGAGACCTGTAACAACAAGATAAGTGCGTGTGTATTCCAAGTAACGTCTGGAGTTTGCTGCCTCCCATTAAATGCAATAGGAGCTCACAGTTCAAATGGTAGAATTTTGCTTTGTAAATGTAGGAGAAAATGTAGTTCAGATATATAGGTAAATTTGCATTTGGTAGTGATTTAATGTTCCATGGTCTGTTTTAATTCCAACTTAAATATTACATTAAAAACAGCAATAAAAAATAAAAATAATAATAAAAAAAGCGTGCTAACTGCTGCGTTCAGAAAGAGTGGATATGATTGTTCTTGCTGTCAGTGTAGCAGTGAGCTGCCTTTTACTTTCTCCTCTTCATTTAGCAAGTCAGCAGCAGTAGTTAAATGATAGCCCTCTGGTCTTTCTTCAGGACTGTTTTTGCAAATGAAAGCAGGAACTTCAAATCCTCATGTTTTTCATATCACTTACAAGGTGTTTTGTGAATTTTAACATTTTTGCATCTATCTGCGAAAAGGCAGAGGGCGTGTGAGGAATTCTCAGTGAGAAGTGCTCTTTGTGCAGGTAGCCTGCATGGGTTTGTACCACTGGGTTCAAGAGGTCATAAAGGGATATTTAAAATAGAAAAAAAAACAACCAAAAAATAATAATAAAAAGCAAAACAGTTTGGTGGTTTGTGAATGATAAACGGGTACAAAAAAAGAGGAAAAAATTCACATCTAACCAATGTCATTCAGAAATACCTAACGCACCTGGCGTCTGGCATATGAAGCATTATTCAGTCCCAAAACCACAAAACCTTCAGGTTTTCACTGTGATTTCTTCACAAAGCCCTTTTCCTCTCCCAGGGCTGGCTCCAGGCCTCCCTGTGAACACAGAGTCACCCCTGCTGACATTATCCCTCTCTGGAAAGTTGCCACAAACCTTGCAGAATAAAGTCCTGATCTAACAGCGATGCGAGTGGTTTAATAGGAGGGCAAGAGGGCTTGAAGTCAGTAGCACGAGGCATAACAGAGTAAAGCAGCGGTCCATTAAATCAGCGCACTGGGGCCTAGGCATTTACAGTCACACAGTCAGATGTTTCCAGTAATTATTTCCCCATAGCATTTTTATTAGGTGCTCCATAAATAATATTCACTGCCATGCTCTTCTCATGGTCTTTTATAAAAAGAGAGGGAGGAAAGAAGAGAAGGGAAATTTGCCTTACCTTTAGCTGGATTTTGAGGTAATTCTGGGTTTCAGTCCTACTGAAGCAGATATGAGTTTGGAAAATATGGGTAAATTAGTTCCTTGCTGACCAAACATTGTTCCCTAACACCATCACTGGACCAACTTAACACAAGGCAAGTTTCTATTTCAGATTTAGATTTGTCTGCTTGTCATGGTTCCCATACAGACCTAGGATGAACAGACAAGCAAGTGCTGGGATTGGAGCGGGATTTTTTTTTCTACATACCCTTTGTTTGTTGTTAACTTTATTTTTTTTGGCAGTATTTACGTAGGTCAAATCCAGGGTCATCACATCAGCAACAGCACTGCCTTCTCCTCTCTAGAAAGACCTTCTCAAAGCTCAACACTGTCACTGTGAGTTTAATCTGGTCTGTACATGCAGCATCTATTGACAAACACTGGCTTTTTGATTGAGGCTACTGTGCAAAGGTTTCTTCCAGAAAATATCACTGCATTGCCTGGGCTATAGTATTAAAGTTAAGCAATACAGCTTCTTTCCTGGCACTAGGACTCGTGTTTTGCAAAGGGCTTTTACTCAGGTATTTGATTTGCAACATCAATTTTCTAGCCAAAGTAAGATTCCCCAAATAAACTTCAGGATCTGGGGACTTATTTTTCTACTTATTGAACTACAGAATTGCGACCAACCCCAAGCAGAACTCTGAGGAGCAGCAGTAAAAGGAGGTGGAGTAAATAGTCATGGTTCAAGTTTGCTACTACAAGGGTCACAAACTCTTCCACCTGTGTGTGTCAAACCTCTAAGCAGTAGCAGGTGTGTATTTATATAGATCTACACACAAGTGCAATACTTCTGTCTAAGCTGAAATCTGTGCATCAAGTGTAGATGAGCACAGGGAGTACAGAAATTGTTAATAGCTGGGGAGAAAATAGAGCTTTAAATAAATACAGTGGTTTTGCTTATAGTAACTGTCAGTGTCTGCTCAGGCTTGGTGGCCTTGCTGCTTGGTCGTCTCCTGTTTGTACACGAGGGTACAGTGCCACATGGCTGTATTTCAAAGGGAATGGAGTATCTTCATGTAGCTACTTGTCAGTGGACTAGGGCTCTCTTAGGAGCCCTGATTGCTGGCTAGCAGGGTCATTTCACCCACGATCCAAGGCTGGGGTCAGTCCTGACACAGCCCTCACACCGTGTCCAGAATTGCTGGAGCCTCTTGCAGCTGAAAGATGCTCTGCTGCTGGCCATTGCTTTAGCCATGCTAGGGGACGTTGTGTCAGTAAGAAAAGACAACTCATCTGTTTCTCAGAAAATACAATCTCCAGATAATTTCTCAGTTCCTTTTGTTCTCCATTTCGCTTCTGGTCTGATCAAACTGGGGAAGCTGCAGCCTGGAATTAAGTATGAACCCATTCAATGTATATAAATGTATGTATCTATTTTGAGGTATAGGAAGACTCAGTTCAGTGAACCTAGGCCATTGGCATTTTATAATTTCCTCTTGCTCCAGCAGGTAAGAGATTAACCCATTGTTATTCCTCTCTAAAGGAACAGAGAAAAAGATACACTCTGCAAAGATCCTAATTATTTTTTTTTTTTAAATAATAATCCATTGGGTTTTTAAAGAAATATTTTATTGGAACCATAAGGTTTCTTTTTTTGAGAGAGAGAAAATTTGAAATCCGGAGTTTATTTTTCCTTCAGTGTCTCTCCTAAGAAGCAACAGGAATTGAGATTTTTTTTTTTTTTCTCTCTTGTGTTTGTGCCTACTTATTAAACACACATGTGGCCTGGATTCCTTGCGTAGGTGCAAAGAGGTTTGAAAAAAAGAAAAAGAAAAAAAGGTGTAACCCAGTCCATTGACCTGTCTCTTTGCCCTTAGGACTCTTTCGAACAGCTGTGAGAAAAAGAAAAGAGGGGGGGGAAGAGAGAAAAAAGGAGGCAGTTTAACAAGCCAAATCCAGATGTTCATTTCATATACACACCCTGAACAGCTTTTGCATGGTTTATTTCGTTTTCTGAAACCATTTTTCACCAGCCTGTTTTCTCAGCTGGGAAACTTCTGGTGTAGTGTTTTCAAAAAAATATTGCATTTGGCATTACAAGAAAACAGAGCCTTTAAGACATTAAAAGGACAATATCCTTGTTTGACTTGGCCCAGGGAAGCAGGGCTATAGGAATTTTAGATTTCTGTACCACCCAAAGAATAGGTAAAAGAAATTTTCCACTCTTAAACCCAGTTTACGTGGGAATTTGAGAGTTGATTTAGTTTGATTTTTTTTTTTCTTTTAAAGGTTACTTTGAGGACTTTGTGTTAGTGTAGTAGGACTTTATTAGCATGAAGGAATAAGCAAAGTGATAGCAGTCAGTTTGCATCTGGATTCAGATGAACCATGGTTCAAAACTCAAACTGATGATGAATAAACCTTATTTTTGTTTTGTGAGGACCAGATCATGCTCATCCACTGCAACATCTACACAATGCAGACAGACAAATTTGAAATTGTTTAATACTGGTGCAGTTTCTCTTTATTTACAGTAGAGGCAAGCTAGATAATATGAGCCACAATTCATATTGTCTCTGTGAATAGCAC